CCGCCCTGCTTCGCCCCCCGTCCGCGTGGTTCCTCCTGGGAGGCTGCTCCGGCCAGATCCAGCATCCCAGCAGCCTGGTGGGACGGGGCAGCTGCCGGGAGAAACCTGCCCTTGCTGCTGGGGTAGAGACGGCTCTTTGGGTGCCCTGAAAGCGAGAGCAGGTCTGCGGGGCCGGAGGGCAGTGCTGGGAGGAGCAAAAGTACCTTGGGAGGAATGACCAGTGACATTTCTTTCAGGCCGATCAGATGCTACGTCAGAATAACCAGACCAAGTACTACCGGGAGTTCCTGGGCATTCTGGCGGGGGAACAGGTGGACCCCGAAAACCTGGGGGAGGCTGTCCGGACCCTGTGCGAGCAGACATCCATCTTCTGGGTCAGGAGAGGGGAGGGTAAGTTGTACGTGCCCCTTTGCAGAAGAGGGAAGCACGACTGTTTCTAGTACATCTAAGAGGAGCAGGCTCTGCTGCCCAAAAGCTGATGCACGATCCAGGACAGGCTGCCAAGGCCTGGGACGGGGACAGGTGACCTCTAGTTCAAGATCCGACTATTACTCGGCCATCGCCAAGCGCTGGCTCGTACCCACAACCTGCAGCGAACCGTGGTGCTGGCTGGGAGAGGCTCCGAGCCCCCTTCCCCGGGCAGCACAGCCCGCTCGCGCGGCACAACCACAACACAGAGCAGTCCCCTGGGACGCCGTTGGCTTAATACCCGTCACCTTCATCTTCACCAAAAGCAGCCTGCTCAGCTCTCATTCTGTTCTGTCTTACTCCAGCTCTGATGAGAAAGGTCATTCCCGGAGGCTTTCCACTTGTTTGGCTCCCCAGGGACTGGTATCTGCAGGACTGCAAAAGCGTTCCTCTCACCCTGGTTCTGCCCTTGCTCATTTGGCAGGTCCAGGGAAGCAGCGGCTGATCTACCTGTGCATTGACATCTGTTTTCCAAGCAACATTTGTGTGTCTATCTGCTTCTATTACCTCCCTGAGTAAGTCCTGTGGCCGCCCTCTCGCTGCTCTACATACTTGAACTGGATTCCTGAAAAGCCTCTGATTTCAACAAGGACGGTAACATCTACAACATAAAACTGCTGATTTCATGCTGCAGTTCAGGAGCGTTTAGAAAAATAACAGGACTCTGCTCAGCACTGCCAGTGCAGACACTTTATTTGCAGCTGTGCTCCAGGGCTGCACCGCGTACGTAGGTATTAGGAGATCCAGGCCTAGAGGAATCACCTGGAGCAGCTAGTGTTTTACGGCTACGTGCCCCGTTCAACACAAGGCTATTGAATTTGTTGGGGGTGGTTGGCTTTATAAGAGCGCAGCTCTCCAAGTCAGTCTGTGAAATACGCTTTGAATAAAGGGATTGCAAAACAAGGAAACAGCTGCCTTTCCGCTCTTTGCTCAGCCTCTTCCATCATTAGAAAAGCTGATTTTTTTATTTTTTTTTCCACTGTGGGGTACAAGAACATCACAAAGCTGTCAGCAGCTGATGCCACAGGGACTCCTCCAGCTGAACCGTACCCAGCTCCCCTCAGCGGGATCGTGCCTCCCTCGCCCATTCCCTTTTGTCCAAGCGGCCTCCCTTAGAGGCCGCACGCGTTTCGGTAATGATCTGCTTGGAGCTGAAGCCTGGTCTCACTCCAGGCAGCTGCTTCTGCCAGAGACCGAGCCCTCCCCGTCAGTGCAGGGGATGGTTACAAGTGCATGTCCCGGGCTCCAGAGAGGGTGCTTGCCACTCTAAGAGGAAGGAAAACAAGCAGAGGTCCTTTCCTTCCCACACGTGACCCTTATCCCAACACGCTGTCGTTGAAAGCAAGGCAGACGACTGCTTTCTGGTGGCCGCTGTATTCCCTCTTGATCTCTCCTGTCTCCACACACCAAAGTCTGGCCAGGTTATCAGAGGAGGCTGGAACAGAAAGTGAAAAGAGGAGTGGGATATATTGCATTACCCTTTAGACTTTTTTTTTTTTAATTATTATAAGAAAGACTTTCCTCTTGCTTCATTCAACACCTTTATTAGGGCTGTTGACGACAGCTAAGGGAGCCGTGCAGAGCAAGAAGCTTAGTGCGTTTCTGTATTACGTGAGGCTTTAATTATTTCGGAGGGAACTTACTGTGGAACTTACAACATGTTACGTTTTGAAAGGACTATCATGCTGCGTACTGCAAGCAGCATTGCTAGCAGGTGAAATAAACTGCACACGTGAAGATCGCCTCTCCAGCTTAAACAGACGCCCCGCTGCAGCACAGGCAAAATGCTTAAAGGAATTAGCAGACTGCGTTGTGGGCGTGGGGCTGGCTGCCCCCTCCTCACATACCGGTGCAGGAGGGTTTGGCAACGTCCCAGTTAGAGAAACTGCCAAGTCCTGTGCCGGTGCGGGGCCCTGCTGCTGGGGGCCTGGCGTAGCCCAAATCAGCGGCGGGCCGAGGGCAGGAGCGCGGCAGTGCCTCACCTGTGACGATGTACTGGGAGTCCCCGGAGAACGCGCAGTCCCACATCCAGCCCCGAGACGTTTCCCCTGGGTTATTGCTCTTAATGCTCAGCTCTGTCATCAGAGAGAAGTTTGAAGTCCTCCAGATCTTGCACGTCTGATCTGCAGAGCACGTAGCCAAGAGCCTGCGAGGAAGAGACGCGCGGGGGTAACCTTACGAGTCGCTCTGTACGCCGAAGGGCCTCTCGTTAATGTGGGCCTGGCACGGTAACAAACTGGAGACCTGCGTTCATTGTAATCAGATTTCTTTACACCTATATCATCTGCCTTAGGAGATTCAAGCCGAACAGGCTCGGTGAAGGAGTACATCAGGTTCACCACTTTGCTCCCAGAGATCAGCAATTCGATCCCAGCTGTAAGAACAGCTCGTGGCTGCAAAGCTTTCTGAGATCACGGAGCACGAGGCTGGGATGCCGCTGCCAGCGACCCAGTCCCCGTGTGTCCCGCGCCTCCTGTCCCGCTCCTCCCTGGGGGACCTGCCGGGCGATGTGGCGCCAGCATCAGCCAACAGCTGGAGGCACAGCTGGTCTCTGCCTGCCTGGAAGGGACCGTCTGCTCCCGTGGCAGGTAGGCGAGGGGCTGGCACGCACTCACGTGGAGTCGGGGCTGAACTTGCACTGAAGGGCGTAGCGGTTGTGCGCTGGGATCTTGGTCTTGGGGATCAGCTGGGTCACCTCCTCTCCGATGCCGCCCGTCAGGTTCCACACGTAGCAATTTCCCTGCGGCGAGACAGGGGGATCTGTGGCCGGGCTGGTGGTCACCCACCCAAGAGCAGCCCGGAGTTTCCACACCCCACCGCGGCACAGCAAAGCCGCAGGCAAAGCCGGTAGGTGCAGAGCGGCTGCCCCTGCCCACGGGAGGCGCAGCCCATCCCACGTTCGAGGCGGCTGGAGCGCACCGAGCTGGTGAGCGCCGCCCATCGGGGTCAATGTGAACCGAATTCACGGAAACTTCGGGCTCTGGAATCAGCTGCTCGTTGTGGTCTGTCTTCAGGTCCCAGATGTGAATGGCACCGCTCTGATCACCCACAATTAGCTCTGCCTGCAAGAAAACAGCAGCCTCGTCTCTCTGAGGAGAACCCCGCAAGCGGCAGCCCCGAGCCAACGCCCAGATGGTGCCCGTGGAGCCCCTCGGGGAGCCTTGCTCTGGTTTTAAGCACCAGCGTCCTGTTCTGCCTGGTTATTCCCCAGCACAGGGCTGTTTCAGAGCTCCAGCAGCCTGCTGACCGCCCCTGTGCGCTGAGAGCAGGCAGAGTGCTAATCTCACACGACACTCTGCAAAAAGGCTGTTTACCTTTACAGAAGTGTTCGCTAATTTTATAAACCCCAGGGCAGACGGCGGCTGCCTGGTTTCCAGAACCGTTGCGCAGCTACAGCTCCAAACAACATCCACAGAAGCCAAATGACTTTCAGCACGTCTGAGAAGAGGGCATTAAGATGCAAGTTGGCCAGCGAACAACTGAAGCGCTCAAGAGTGTACAGACACCTCAAAAACACAAGCCGAAATGGGTTTTTCTCTCTCTCTCCCCTTCTCAGGGGAAGGACAAGAACCAGCTGAAGGGCACGAGTTCTGGCTCCGATCCCGTGCTCAGACCAGAAGACAATGCTGGCGGCTCTCCACTAAAACCAGGGCTTTTATCGACAGTCTTGCGCTGCCCATAATTTTAGCAGAATCCCTAGAGGAGATCAGGTCATCGGGCACAGCTAATCCTGTACCTGTGAGCAACGGCTTGTTTCTGAGGAAGACGGCCATCGCTCGACATGTTTAGCTGACTGCACAGTGCAGAACCGTCTTCTGGTCGCCTCGGTCCTTAGCCCCCTCTTAGCGCGCGTAAGCGCATTTGCTAAAGCCGTCGTGGCTTTACCCAGGCTGCGAGAAATCTCTCTTGGATAACCGGATCAGCATCGCTGCAGCAGGGGACCGCGGAGCCATGAAGCGATCTGAATAACTACTGCCACCTTTGGACTAATTAACCGCGTTCTGCTCACAAACCAACACTCCTCCTGCAGCTCAGCAGCATCTTGGTTAGTGATCGTTTCACAAGTAAGATCTACGTACAACAACAATATCTGTTTTAATGTAATACATTCTCACAGCACCGGCGCTATAGGAGCAGCGGCAGCATTTGGGTAAAGTCTGGTCCAAATAATCGATCTCAAATCTGGTCCAAAATTCAGGACTTGCAAAATTAAACCTTTGCAAAATCAAATGCAAAGAAACATTTCTGTTACTCAGCTTTTTAAAAAGGTTTGCACTGCCCCGTCTGCAAACAAACCCTGCAGCGCTGTGAATACAAAATGGACCAGACAGGTTATTAACACTGCAATGAGACGTATTGATTTTCACCGCCGTCCCCTCTAATGCACCGCGCTCCCTTTTAGCCTCGTTTCCCGAGCCCCAGCCCCCCCGCCGTTTATCAACAGCTTCTGGA